CAAAATGCAATCTAAGATGTGACGTGTGCGATGTAAACAGCTGGCTTTAACTCGTCAGGATGGATTTATCCTCCTTGGGGGGAGTTAACGCTGTTCGGGTTCATAATTATAAATGTAGTAAATTTTAACAATAAAGATTCATTAAGCAATGTATACGTCATGACTCTTGTGTCCATTTCTCTGTTCATGTGTTTCATAGTTTAAAGTACTTTGGCCTTTAAACTAGATTTGGCACAAACATATACATTTTCACTTAACATTAAGGAGCAAATACCAAAAATAAATAATTCTAGTTTTTTATAAGGTTTCCTTTACTGCTATATCAGATACATTTCTCTTGAATCCAACTCAACATCTTTTGGTGGGTGGGACAGGAACCCCACCCGCTCAGGCACCCGGCTAGGGCTCAGCATACAGGCTTCTGAGGATTGTGTTGCCATGATGGGTAACTGGTCAACAATGGGATAGACTGTTATTTTCATTAAAGTCCAGCATTTTCCTCTCTAATCAAATACCAGTTGGTGTCCGTGTTCAAATGACATGGAGACCCAGCTTCCAGCTGCTTCCCCATGAAATATTGGTTCATTTACTCTCATTGGCGGGCCATCTTAGATAACTTGGAGAGAACTTAGCACAGATTGAACAAATTAAAGATATTTGTGTAATGTGGCTCTTGCCATTTTATGACATTTCAAAGTTTAAAATTTTCTCTGAATAACATTTGCGAAGGCAAATGGATGTCTGAAATTTAAATGTGGTATTAAAAATATTACTCTACTGCAGTTTATGGCATATTAGGGAAGAGCTTTCACGTCTGTCAAATCTTTTTTTAAAAATATCTTTTATTGATTTCAGAGAGGAAGGGAGGAGAGAGAGAGAGAAACATCAGTGATGAGAGAGAATCATTGATCAGCTGCCTCCTGCATGCCCCACACTGGGGATCGAGCCCACAACCTGGCATGTGCCCTGACCAGGAATTGAACCGTGACCTCCTGGTTCATGGGTTAATGCTCAACCACTGAGCCACACCGGCCGGGCCAGCCATACACTCTTTGTCACAGCTACTCAATTGCCCCTGTCCTGTCCAAGTAGCCCCAGACATTACAGGGAGAAACGGGTGTTCCAATGACACCGGTTAGAAGAGCAGCCTGGATTGGGCCTATGAGCTGTCATTCACCATCCCTGCTGTGCAGCCCAAGGACCCCAGCGGCTAACTGGTCCCCACACCCTGTGCCAGAAGAGAGCCTCGAAAGCTGTGCTTCTCCCTTTGTTCCCCCCCCCCCCCCCGGCCCCCCACAGGCCAAGGCAAGCTCGGCAGGGCTGCTCCGATTCTCCCGGTGACGGGCACCTGCCCAGGTGCAGTAGCACCCACGCTGGGACGACGGGGTCCGAGTTCTCGCCCTCCCGATCGCATGTGCATCCATCCTTCCTGCAGGCACGGCACCCGCCAGAACCAGGGCCTGAACAGCTCCCGCCTCAGTTACATATGCCTCCGGCGCTGGCCCTTCCTAACACCACCTGCACCCCATTATGATGAGTCGGGGTCACCAAGCCAGAAGTCCCTCTAGTGAGCTTGTGTGTCTCCTCTGCCAGGAGACCTCCTGTCCAGACCGCCCTCGGTCACCCGGAGCCTCCCTTTACTCTCACCCAGGAAAGCAGGGCTCCGAGTCCTGGCCCCTCCTTCCCAAGACCCTCGCTCGTGAGAAAACCGAGGCATCTCCCACCGCCCAGCAAGCGATGCTGCAAACTCTCCTGGGGGACTCATTCTTATACACGCCATGTGCCCTGTGCACCATCAGAGGAGAATCTCGAGAACTGGGTAATTATTATACACGCCACGTGCCCAGGGCACCATCAGAGGAGAATCGCGAGAACTGGGTAATTATTATACACGCCACGTGCCCAGGGCACCATCAGAGGAGAATCTCGAGAACTGGATCATTAAAATCGGTGCTCATTCTCATGTGTCGGACTCCCTTCTCACCTCTGGTGAAAGGTGCCCGTGTGCTCAGAGCTTTGGGAGAAAGTCAGAGAGTGAGCACTCACCCCAACAGACCCCGGGACCACAAATCCCTGAGGTCATCAGTGTTGCTGACTCAGCCTCTGTTTCTCCAGGGCCAGCCTCACCCTGTGGGGGAGGGTAGAGATCATAACATGTCTGTGCTCCGTAAACACTCACTGAGCTCCATGTATACAAAATACTGTGCTAAGGTTGGAAAGGTTAAAGAAAGATGAGTGACAGGTGGCGCCTACTCCCAAGAAGCAAAATATTGTTGGAGAAGAAAAACCAAAGACAATCAAGGCGGAATGCGACCCGGTCCACAAACCATGTCCAAAGACAGTCGGAAAGAGCCGCCGCGGGAAGAGGGTCCTCACGTATGGCGATGGGAGGAGATCTGACTCTGGGCCGTGGGCACACAGTGCAATGTGCAGACCTGGTGACACAGAAACCCACACCTGACACCTGTATGACCATATTCACCAACGTCACCCCAATAAATTAATTAAAAATAGAATCACAGGCCTGGCTGCGATTCAGTTGAGCTTCAGCCCAGAAACCAAGAAGTCACCGGTTCGATTCCTGATCAGGGCACAGGCCCGGGTTATGGGCTAGATCCTCAGTGGGGGACGTGCAGGAGGCAGCCGGTCCATGATTCTCATCATTGATGTTTCTATTTCTCTCTCCCTCTCCCTTCCTCCCTGAAATCAATAAAAATATATATATTTTGTTAAAACAGAAGTGGGAAAGACGGAGGAAGCCTCGTCAGGAAGTTGCTTCTCATTGGAAACTTCGAGAATGGGAGAAGGAAGGGCCGGGGAAAGGCTTGCTTGCAGGAGAGCATGTTTGTGCAACGCCCCGCAGGCTGGGGTGCCTGGATGTGGGGTCCGCTCGGGAAGAACGGGGAGTGAGGTGGACAGGCTGGCGAAGGGTGGACCACGGCAGCCCAATGCCATGCTGGAGACTGAACACAGTTTGTAGGCCACGGAGAGCACCAAGGGGCGCTCTGAGCAAAGGGGTTGCCTGAGAGCCAAGCTAGGAAGGGGGGCGGGGTGAACAGGGGAGAAGTGGCACCTGTCCTTCCTCCAACTCACCCTGCCGCGGGGAGAACAAGATGAGAGTATAGTAGGCGAAATGCACAGCACAGCTCACTCCGAGTGTTCGGGGTGCAGTGCAAAACAAGGGTTACCCCCTTTAACCCCCCCAACCCCCGCCGGGGTGCTCAGTGGCTGAGCATCCACCCATGAGCCAGGAGGTCACCATTGGATTCAGGGTCAGGGCACACGCCTGGGTTTCACCGGGTGGGTGGTGGAGGCGCCGGAGCCAGGCTGTGCGCTCCAGCATCCTGAGGTCAGCGCTCCCGGGGGACCCTCGCTCCCCTCGCTCCCCAGGCGCAGCGCTGCAGAATCCAGGGGCGCGCCCCCCTTTCGGAGTCTGACGTCAGGTTCCCACAGCCGGCAGGGGCTGGGGAGCGGGGAGC